GCGACACTGAGGGTTGCGATCCGTTGCCCATCACGAAAAAAGACAAAAAGGAAAAAAAAAATTACTTTGTGGCTAAAATAAACTAACATCTACTCAGAGTTTGTTAGGCAGGCATCAGCTGTAGAGCAGTTAGGGTTTTCTCAACTTCTTTGACTTGCCAGGGATAAGAAAAACATTTACACTGTGAGCCAGTATACTCATTCACATAAGTACAAAAAACACCCCGAAATTCTGGGGAAAAATACTTACCGTTACTATATATGTTAAAATGAAAATATTAAAAAGTTAATATCAAATATGATTTTTTTTAATATTTAAAGGAACAGAAATTTAAAGTGCCCGAATAAATGATGCTGAAATCAATTTCAAAATAATATTACCATAAAAACCCCCAAACCAAATAAACTTGTCACACCCATTCAATTCATTTGATGGCCAACCAGAGGGTTTCCATACACTATTTAAAAAGTATGATACAGGCTAAACTAAACAGCATGAATGAGCTCCCAGTTAGAATGATGTTTATAAAAATCTGTGAAGTTTTTGAGCTATGTGATGTTCGGGATCTCACTTCAAACACTTCATCTAGCAGGCCTGAGTCTTAGTTTCTTGATCTGTAAAATGATACTAAAAATGCAAACCTTACAGGGTAGTTGAGGGCTATTAAATAATTCTGTATTTCTTTAACTCTAAGATGTATATTTTCTAACATTTTAAAGTTTCTGGGATGTTTCGGATTTCACTTCCTAATCCCTGTGTATAATTGATATACATAAAGGGTAGTATGTCCTTTTCCCTAGAAAAGCTGCCATTCTAGTACAGAGTAAACATTGACTACATGCGCTAGATTATAATAAAGGTACTATGAAACCAAAGAACCCTATAATTCTTTTGAGGCCAGGAGGAAAAAAATGGAAGAAAAAAAAACAGGCTGTCTTTTTTTGTAAAAAGCCCTGGGGAAAAGAGTGGGGAATAGAGAAAAAGGTTCTTATAAAGGTTACTGAGAGCTCATTATACGTCTTTGCTTCCCTTACTCCTCAGTCTCTAATGGGGATGATATTAGGTAATTCCTTAGCCCAATTTCACTAGTGGTAATAGACTAAGCCCTAGCCTACAGTGCACACAATCCAAAAAAAGACTGAGAACAAAAAAGTCATTTGTTCTAGGTTAACTCTTGTCAAATGATATCTTTAATTAACAAAAAAAAATATGAAGACCCAAATTTCTAATGTGTGCAAAGTTTATTTGGTGTTGGATTCTCCTAATGTAAACTGAATTTGTTGACCCAAATTTCTAATGTGTGCAAAGTTTATTTGGTGTTGGATTCTCCTAATGTAAACTGAAATTGCATGAACAAAGAGGTTACAAGTATTCACAACTCATAATAAGCCATGATGTTGGGGTAGCAAAAATGACAGAGCACAATAAATGACTGGTCTTGTAATCTTGGAAACCAGGGGGGAGGGGAGAAGGGCAGAAAGGAAGGGAGAAAGGAATCATACTTTCTCAAAAAGAATATACTTTACATGCTTATATCTCCTCTAAGAAATGTTTTCTGGCAAAAGTATTCTTTAACTATGTTTTTATTGAAACAGACATCAGTACTATTTTCTTTTAAAACCACTATACTATTTCTTCACAAATCATACATTCTGGGATTAAAAAAACCAATAATGACACTTTATATACCAACCCTTCAAACACCTGGGCTGTCTGATCAGGATTCAGGATCAGACAACTATGATACCGCCTGAGAACAGCCACGATGCAGACACACAGTCCTGTTGTGTAATTTCCTGCCAGGCTGGAGGATTTTAGGAGCAGTTCAGCTTCCACAACGCTCAGTTCATTTAGTAACTAAAACAGGAAAAAAGACTGAATAAAAATGTAGGTGCTAACACAAATAGAAAAAAAAAATTTTTTTAAACAAACCATGAATATACTGAGTCATTCTAATACAACCACAGTCTCAGAAAACATACACCAAATAATTTGTTTCTTTCTTATTTTTAATCCTTTACCATTTTATGGAGTTGTTCTGTCTAGACATCAGGGTGTATATATACAATCAGGAAGTACCCAGGGCTGAAATAGTTACCGAAACTTTACGGCAGTCCAAAGTTCTGGACGGCATAATTTTAGAGAACATCCACACCACTCACTTTTCTCTTTCCTCTTCTCTTTAATAAAATAGAAGTTACTTGTCATTATTTTCTTCTTATTAACAAAGCTAATACCTCTTACAGAATAAGCAATGGAAACCAGTCTTATTTCTATTAGTGAATAACAGAAGACAATTAATGAACTCAAATGTGTGTAAGAAATATAGCAGGACAAATCAAATTAAAAGTTTTTTGTTTTCGCTTTTAGCCTGAAATGTACTCTATTATACAGAGAAAATAAACTTTCATCTTTCCCTAAGCAAAATGAGAAAAAAACAAACAAAAACACCCTTGAAACTCTCACATTTTTAAATGACATATTTTGGCACCAATTATAATTATTTAGTTGAAAACTATAAACACAGCTACAATGAAAATGCTAAAGACTGTTAATTCAGAATCACGCATTTATCAAAAAAAAAAAAAATAGGGCCGGCCCAGTGGCGCACTGCTACAGTGCGCCGCTTGGGAGCGTGGTGGCGCTCCCGCCGAGGGGTCGGATCCCACATACAGACCGGTTCCCGCTCACTGGCT